TCTCGAATAAATGATCAGGAATCAACCAAGGTAAATTCTATTGTTGGACGTGATTCAGATGTAACTGAGTTGTCTCTTCACCAGGAAAATGAATCAACATTAGATCAAGAAACTGATGATTGTCAATCTATTGACACTGAGATCAGAAGTGGAACTCTACCAATGACACAAGCATTAAATACTTTAAATGCAATTGACGAGACTTCGAACAGTTTCAGCATTGGACAATCAATTCAAGATCCTGGAGAAATTGAAATGGAGGAAGGTCAACGAGGAATAGATGATGATCCAAAAGATATTGATGAAAGCCAATTGGAAACGTCATTTCAATTACTTGAAAAAAATCGCATAGATTCTGAGGAAATGGATCAAGATCAATCTATCAGTGAAAATATAGCGATGGCTGATTCCGATGGAAAAGAAACTCAAGTGGATCTTGGAGCATTATTCGCACAAAATCCAAATGCTGCTCTGATTTACCTCAAAGAAAATAACCTTCTTGAATCCTACATGGCTAAAATCTCTGAAAATAAGTAGCTCATTGTTACTAAGCAACAAAAGTTGTCCTTGAAAGAAATTCATTTCTTTTTTCTTGTTTCCAAGTAAGAAATTTTTCAATTTAATCCAATCATTAACTGGTCACAAAAATTTATTTTTTTACATTTTCAATCAATCAAACTAACCAATTATTATTGCCGAGAAAAAATTCAAACCAATCAATTTCTTTTTTGTTCAAATCAAATGTGAATCTCAAAATTAGTTTCCTTCCCCCTAGAATTGGGTTACCTTCAAAAATCAAATAAATAGTCACTTTTTTTTGTTCTAGAAACAGTTCAAATCTAAGTGAATTTTGTTCTTTTCAATGTACATTTTATCTCTATCTGTGTTGGTTACAATTTCTTTTATTAATTGTTTGTCTAATTGAGTTGAATTGTGTTTGAAACTTGTAATAATTGATATGCCCAGTCAAAGAGAAAATGTTTCAGTTTCTGGGAAAAGGTGTTCATCACAATCAAATTCACAAATTGATTCAAGTGTACAAAAAATCCGTAAGAAAAGTGCCCGTGCAAGTGTTTCCATCGCTTCTCAACCTTCCACATCAAAAGAAAAAGTAACAAATAATCTTGAAACCGAGATTTCTCAACTATCGGCGGCTGATGAATTGAATTCAGAAAAGCAAATTTTCAAAGAGTTGTGCTTAACTCGGAAGCTCGCAAGCGGAAAGGTCTATGGTGTTGTACTTCCGTTAGTGTTGGATTCTAGTTTGAAGCCATTCAAACAGCCAATTCTGATAAGATTCAATATTGATTTACTCAAAGAATTTGGATTTTCATTACCATTCAATGCTTACATGAAAGAGAAAGAAAATTATTTCGAAATCAAATTCCAAGGAACCATTTTCACTGCTCAGATTATCGCTATTGGAGGTGAGTTATTTGATAATTTTGCTCTAATCGTTTTATTAATTTATACATGACTATTCAGACACTCCTCTAGATGTTAAAACTTGTCTTCGAAAGAATATGAAAGAGAATCCTACTTGGAGAAAGTTGAATTCAATAATTGGTAATGGTAATGGTGTGATGAATATTGTCCACAAACCCCTCAAGTCTGATACTGATTTTCCATCACAAAAAGTACTCGGTCCCTCAGCCCTTAAACAAATCTTTGGTTATTGTGAGAGGCAAGAAAAAAACAAAGAACAAATTCAAAAGAAAGGAAATTTACACTCAACGGGTTCTCTTTCCAAAGAGAAGGAGAATGAGGATTCTAATTGTGGCGATAAAGATCAACAGAGCTCTCATTCTGACGAAAGTTCCAACCATCCTGAATCAATTATGAGAAACAACATGAAAAAGCCACTGGAAAGTTGAAATTATTAATGAAAGTCAACAGCCTAAAGTTCAAGTTGATTCTACAGAAACTGAAACAAAGATTGAAAGATTGAAAGCAATCATTGAAGAAATCGACAGGAAAAAGATCACGCTTTCAGAAAGAGATACTACAGGATCTTTAATCTTCACAATTATCAAAGCGATTGAATGTATTGCTGATTCATTAGAGCTTAAGAATACACGATTTGAAAAGTCATCTTATATTGTACCTGAAAAGGATAAAACATATAAAGATCAAGATAAGGTAGTTCTCTTTCTCTCCTTCTTTTTATATGCTGTTTATACTTATTGGAAAATTTTCTAAAATCTTTCTCAGAATCAAATATTTATAGAAGGAACCATTCAACTTGATTTAAGCTCGTACGAGTTTGCCTTGCGAAACTCTCGCCCAGAGCAACCAGCATCTCTTGCTTATCAAATTGTCCATTTTTGTTTCCCAAAGCAATATTATTCAGAGGTTACGCTGGGTAAGAAATTCTTGAGCAATAAAGATATCGATCTTATTCTTAAGAAGAGAGAACAAGGAATCAAAGTCAAATTACCTTTACAGTATGTTTGGGGATTCAAAGATCCATATCAAAAACCCCTAGTAGGAGATTCTGATCAAGATCTTGGACTAGAGAGAATCAGAGCTTTCATAAGTAAGATATTGTAGAATCAAAGATATTGTAAAACATTCAAAAATCAAAATAAAATTCTGTTTATTCTGAATTGATTCTAGATCACATTTTCAGAAAATCTGAAATCTTTCGCTATTCACAAGAAATGGAATATAAAGTCAGGAATCGCATTTCCAAAGAAATAAGTTTCTTGAATTCAAAAAAAGTTTCAAGCAATTCAAGCGACGATGAATCCCATTCTGAAGAAATTGAAACTAGAAAAGACTCTCAAAGAGAGGAAGATAATTCCCATGGAAAGGACTCTGACGAAAAGATTATTAATGACAAAGATTCCGAAACAGATGAAGATGATCCTTGGAATATTTACTGTTTTGATCCATAAACTCTGATCCATTTATATAAGATTAAATTATTTTGATAAATATTTCTATTGACTTGTATACATATCTGACACACAAGATTAAAACTTGAATCAAGAATCCGTTATTTTCGAAATTTTGATAAGACTTTTATCTTTATCTCATTTTTGAGCAAAAACACTTCAAAATCGTTCAATGCCATGAACTCAAACTCCAGTTTTGATTCATAGATGAAACGAAATGAAGCTGATTTGAATTCACTTTTGAAATAAAAAATAATTATTTTGAATCATTTTACTTCAAAAGCTTCAAAATTTTTGCTTCATTCATGATTCAAAATGGCTCCCCGGAAAATTTTGAATCGGCGCCGATTCATCTCTGTTGATTGGGTTCTCCGACGTTAGAACTTTGTTTAATCCCTCTAATAATCTTTTTGTGTAAAATTTCAAGAGACAGTTTAATGTAATAAAATTTCCGATTCATATAACTGTTGTAGTATTTTAAATTAATTGCGACGTGCAAAATTTACAACCATTGGAAACGGGATTAATAAAAACAGTTAAATGACAAGAAGAAGGGATTGGATTAAGGACAAGAGAAAAATATTTTCTTTGTTTCGGCCTAGAAAGCACTTGAAGTAACGAAGTGCGTTGGTTCACATAATACAAAGTGTAAGTCAGTTAAAGTACCGTAAATCCATCAGCTCAACCAGTGCCTGAAAATGGACAATAATTGGCTGGAGTTTCAGTATTTATTCATTTCTGTTTTCATCCGTCGAAATTGTAAGTGTTAAAAAACAAAGGACTTTAACTTTCTAAAAACTTTCAATCTCCGTCATTCTCATGGGGCTTATTTCATTGTATCAATTTATTTCATGTACTGGTGCTGGTTATAGCTATGGGGTTTGGTATCAATCCATTTATCAAGATTTCTCTCACTGATTTTGTGTGATACTTAAGATCAAGTTATGTAATCAGTAAATTGTTTGAGATTAAATTTCATGTCTATTCAATCTGATCCAAAATCGACATTATTGAGAAACTTTTCACAAAATTGTTTGGTAATATTGATAAATCATTTTGTAAATTATTCTCAAGTAATTTGCACGATGTTCGTTGATTATCATAAAAAAGATTGTCATTGTTTCCTAACTCTTTTTGTTGTTATTAATACAATAAATAGCATAATTATTACAATAAGACCTCTGATCAAGAATTTGACAACCATCTTGAAAGCAATTGGCTGAAAATTGTGATCTAATTAATGGTTAGAATTGCCTTCCCATTGATGTGAAAACGTTTTGGATCTAAATCTACATCGGATAAATACTTTGGTCTTTTATTGCTTTTAAACGCTATGGGAACCGGACAGAGAACTGGGCACTTTTAAAGGTTAACATCCATCACCTAATAATTTGTCACAGCGAGAAAAGAAGAAAAGAGAGAAAATTGTCCAGCCACATACTGCTTGACCATTACACTATCACCAAATGAAGTCGCCTAAGGGTAAAAATACCATAGAAGAAAATTTCTAAAATTGTTGACAATCAACTTGAAGATGCAAAAGAAACTGCTGATAAAAAGTGAAGCTCTGGTCATCGTCATGATTAGAATGACCAACATAGAAACGTGTGCATCCTATTTGTAGCAAAAGGATAAACAAATCAAGAGGAAGAGAATCCAAATAGGGACACATAAAGGACATTCAGATAAGCGGCAAGAAGGAAAAAAGAAAGAGAAATAGACAGAGAGGTTGGAAAAAGCAACGGATGACAAAGATGAGAAATTGACAATACAAGAAGATGAAAAAAAGTTTATCCAAAAGGCAAAAATTGATAATCTCAGAAAAGCAAAAATGATTTGTAGTAATACTCACCCATCGCTCTATGGTTTTCCGGCTTAACCAGAAAGATTAATAATATAAATGATCAACAATCAACTGAACAAATTCGAGATTACCGATCTCTCTCTTTTACATAAAGGTAAGGCCAAAGAAAAGGGATGATGACAAATATACCTGAAGGAGAGAGAGAGAGAGAGAGAGAGAGAAGATAAATGATGATAACAATGATTAAGCAAAGAGAAGGAAAAGTTTCCATTCTAAGTAAACATTTACCTGCGCAAGAAACGTTAACATTGAAAAAGTTAGAAAATTTTGTCAATAATTGTGATAATAATGAGAAACGATGATGATTTTAATCTTCATCTTTGGAAGATGAAGAGAAAGAGAGAAGAGAAAACGAGAGAGAAGAAGAGAGAGAGAGAGACGAGGAGGGAGATGATGATTTTCTTAAAGAGTCTCGAGTCCACATCGCGTTAACTTTTCTCTATGATAATTTTTTGCTTCTTCATTTCGAGGTTAACATTGATCTTGCCACTTAATTATTTTAAATGTTCGGTTAATTGTTGCTCTTCACTTTTAATTGTTACGAATTTGTGTTAATCAATTGATTATGGATCGTAGTCAATTCTGTGAATCGTTATAAGATCATCATCAATCTTCATTATGATGAAATATGATTAATATCTTTTTCCCCTTTTCTTCTGTAAATTGTTATTTCTTCTCTAATTTTCTCTTCTCAGATAACAATTAACACCATAATTAAATCTTTAATAACTTACAGTTTTAATCATCTCAGATATTCAAGGTAAATTGTTCCAATTGGAAAATAAAACCAAACAATTAACCAACTTTATGACTGATAAACTTTTAACTTTTCATTGCGACAACAACAATTCATCGGGATCATCGTATTCACTAATTCAGGACTAATTGTGTTTCTTTGTGATTTACTAATTGTGTTGCTCTTTTTTGGTGACAATTATAACCAGTGATTGTTATTTAGCCTATGAAACGGACAATCGATACATACAATACATAGAAAATAAAATGGCCTCTGAGACCGAAGAAAAAGACATTGAGAATAAGGTGGATTCTAAAAAGTCGGGTCGTCCTTTGAGGGTCAAGTTCATTCGTTATGGGGCGATCGCTGGGATTCTCGGAACTCTATTCGCTGCCCTTCAACCCTGGACCATAGAAAAAGTCATTAGTTCACAAATTAAAATCGACCCTTCGTTACCTGGTTATATGTTCTGGGAACGGGTTCCATTGCCGATCATCACTAAATTCAATTTATTTAACATTGAAAATCCTGATCAATTCTTGAAAGGAGGTAAATTAAAAGTTCGCGAGGTTGGACCTTTCGTATTATCGTAAGTAATTTAATTCACGACAATCGGATTAACATTTACATTGTTGGATTAACAATGTTCACTAATATCGTGCTATTAACTTTCAATAGTTTGATTGTCATCACTTTTTATTATAATCCTCACAATTGTTAATTGACATTCAGATTATCTTGTTGATAACTTAATTTCTCGCGATTGTTTGATTGTTTATCTAGTTTACAATCAATTTTACTTATCAACTTTGTTGATTGTATTACTTTATATTTCCAATTATTACAATTTGAAATTGATCTCTAATCAATTATCACTTCCAATATTTACTCTCAATTAATTAATGTGTTGATAATTAACAATTGACTAGCAAATTAAATACACTACACATTTATATTGCTAATTGAGTTGATTAAACTACTAGCAAATTGTCAACAATAAATATTTAGAATGAAAGTGTAAAAATGATAATTAACTTTTTCCATTAGTAAAATTACCTCAACAATTAAGAAATATTATCCACAAACTGGACAATCAACTAGACTTGAATTTAACTAACAATTAAAGCTATTACATCACATTAAAATTAGTTTGATTGTGAAAAATTTAACCAACAAATTCAAAAGATAATCAATTGATTATTATTTTGCAAGAGTGAAATCATTTCCATCATCATAATCAATTCATAATTGAATAACAATCAATAAGCATTTCCAATGAAAATCAAATAAATGATTGTTAATCAATTACTATGAATATTTGATTATCTTTATTCAATGTCAATACAATGTAATATTTCAAGAGCCAATTAGCAAATCGTTTGAGAAATTAAATTCACAAAGACAAATAATCATTGTGATTTTGAGTCACGATTAACAATCGACCATTTGGTTGATGGTTCGGTCAAGTGTTGATAAGTAATCAAATTAATTTTCTAAATTGTTTGGTTAATCATTAGACAAGAAAGATGGAAAGAGGTAATTGAATTCACCGATAAAACCGTCAAGTACTACGAATGGCGTAATTACACAATTCTTTACGAACAATCAAACGGGTCTTGGGATCAAGAGATCACAGTTCTTAATCCTTTGGTCGCTTCGGTTGGTGCGATTATCGGAGATAAATTGGAACAGTTAATTCCCGTTCCGTTGGCTGTCAGTCCTTTCGTCTATTCAACTGTTTCCGCTCTTCTACTTGTCCATAGTCAGAACTTTTTCCTCAAGACTACACCTCGAAATCTAATTATTGGCCAGCGAGTTAATCTACTGGACACTGTGACGACTCTAATTAAGCCTCTTGAATTGTTGGGTGTCAAGGCTTCTGATTTAATTCCAACGGAGGATTTACCCAATAATACATTTGGACTAATTAACGGTAAAAATTTCACTCGAATGGGACCTTGGGAGGTTTACACAGGTATCGATGTACCAAAGGAAATGTATGCAGCCGCAGTTGGATTTAAAAACGAAAGGTAATTAACAGCTAATTAACTTAATTATTGTTCTTTATTAATAGCTTACCTCTTTTTTTTTAATTTACTAGAAGAAAAATTAATCAATTATGATCATTTGATGACCTTAATCAGTTTACAAGTAAATTAACTAAATTAACTTGAAAGTTTTCATCTGATGAAAGTTAATAATCAACTCGATCATAATCATTATCCAACTACGATTCCCTTTTTTTCTTGATTATTTCAATGTCAATCAGTGATCGATGAAATCGTGTCTTATATTTACACCAATGAATTTATCATGAAGATGATAATCATCATGATATAACATTAACCTCCTTTATCATCATCTCTCTCTCTCTCTCTCTCTCTCATTTGCTTAACCTTGTTGTTCAGTTTTAAGATGATCATGATCATGATGAGTTTCTGAGTACGAAACTGAATTAAGTTTAATTTCAAGGTCGAATTGGAAATGATAGAAACTATTATTCATTATTATTATTCATATTATTGACTATTATCTACAGGGAGTTAAGTTTAAATTGAGTGAACTCAGTTCTGTCTTTTTTTATTGTTTAATCTTTTTCATGATAAGTCAAATTAGATTGGAAATCGATGAGAAACTCAGTTAATCATCAATTTAAGGTAAACACAATTAACTCTTGACATAATTAAATTAAAATATCAGATGCACAGTTGACGTTAATTAGGTAGAAATCTCTCAAAAATTAATTATTTATATTCTAGCCGAAAGTTGATACAATTAATACTCAATTAGCGATTCAAATTAATCCGATTCTCTTATGAATTTTTCAGGAAGAAAATTTTTAGGAATCTTCAATCTGATAATAGTGTGCTTCCAATTAGCAGACACTAATCATAATCAATTGCTACCTTTAATTGTAGGTTAATGAAACGATGGGCTGGACCTGAATGTAATACCCCCAAGGGGACTGACGGAATTCAATTTCAACCCTTAATTAACAGGACAACTAAATTAACTGTTTTCGCCGGTGATATTTACAGGTGAGTTTGTTAAATTAATCAATAGCTTTTAATTGTTCAATCAACTTTCATTAAACTTTAGATCGGTTGATTTGACTTATGCTGAAGATGCTGATTACTTCGGGATTCCCGTTTATAAGTACGTTATTGGACCTGAAGTATTTGATCCGCCGAGTGTTAATCCCGACAATGCTTGTTATTGTGTCCACACTGGTAAAAAGAAATCACGATGTGAACACACTGGTATCCTCGATTGTACCGGTGGGTTTTCTGGGTCACCTTTTATCGTTACCAGGCCACATTTTCTTGACGCAGAACCAGAAATCCAGCGACAAGTTGAAGGTTTGTCGCCAGACCGAGAGAAACATGAATTTTACCTTCTCATTAAGCCTGATCTTGGGGTACCTCTTTCGGCTAAAGGTCGATTACAGTTTAACCTTCGGGTTGAACGGGTTCCATTTCTTCGGGGTTTTAGTAATATTCGTGATACAATTGTTCCCCTGGGGTGGATTGAAGAAGGAGGTGATCTAGACGGTGCTTTGTATTATCTACTCAAGGGAGGTCTTATTGTCGCTCCAATGGTCACCACAGCGGGTTTCTATTCCGCTGCTATCGGTGGTTGGGCGGCTTTTATGGGCGGTCTTATTTACCTTGTTGCTCGTAAGGTAAGAAAGGTCAAATCACCTTCACTCGCTCCCATGTCCATAGTCCGTTTAGCCTTGTACATCAACCATCGATGTTGACACTTATTCACTCACATCCAACAAAGAAAACCACTTGATTTGAGTTGTTCTTGTAAATTGTTTTCCCTCCTTTTTAACTGCACAATAACAATCACCGCAATTATCACCATCATCATGATCATATTTCTCAAGATGATTAACTATTGTTTGTATTGATTGTTTACACTTTTCACGCTAAATTGTTGCACTGAAAAACACTCTCACTTAACATTTTGGATTCCAAGGTTATCGAAGTGATTAACAATCTATTTCGTAAATTGTTGATTCTTATTTTGTCAAATTATCAGTTGATTGTCACTTGAAAACGTACACAAGGCGTTTCTATTTTTATACTTAAATTAACAATTTAAATCATTGTGATTATGATACAAGACATAAAGACAATCAAACACTTCGAGAAAGTTTATTTTTGATTACATTTTTAATCATGAAAAGTAAATAGTTTTTCATGTGATAATCAACTTGTGACGACAATTAAATCAACCTTGTAAAGATTATGTTGATTTAATGAATCACAATTAAGCTTCCTGATTTGGTGTCAATTGATATACAAAATAGTAAATTTTATCACATTGTTTAACAATTGAAAATTTAACTTTTTACATTTTTTTAATTGTAATTAACTGCATCTTGAACCTTATTTTATTTATAAAATCAACAATTTGTATTGATCCCTTGGCACAATTGAATGACAAAATTTTGATAATAATTTATAACTTTTTAATTGCTTGGTAATTAAAATGATTCACATTTGCACAAATTTCACCCAAAAATATACAATTAAATTCATTGATAACATAATACTCATATAATCTATCCAAACCATTGATATTAATAGTATGTAATCGGTTGATTGGAAAATTAATCAGCTAATTGTAATAATTATACAATTTGATTACAGTCTGGTAAAGGTAAAGTTGGAAATGCTGATAAATTGTTTGCACCTCGAATGTCGCCAACAAAAGAGGAATTAATCAAAGATTCTGGTAAAGTTGATCAAACGAAAATGTCTCTTAATCAACAACAATCAACTATGAATGGAGTTTTAGTTCCTCTTGATTATAATCAATCGTCCGGAATGTTAAACAATACGTTGACATTGGTCAATGGGTCAGGTTATATTCCGTCAAGAGGAACAGGTCCAATTTCAATCATACCAGTAAACTCTCAAGAAATGTACACACCATCACCGGTAATTCAATTTTATCGACTTCCACCTCAAATGAATCAAAGTGGACAATTCGATCAGCTTTTATTGACCATACCCAATGGGAATATTGATACAGGAGGAGGAGGAGGAGGTGGTGGTGGAACAGTGCCCAAAATAATGTGGACTGAGAGACAATCTAAGTCTGTAAAAGAAAGGACCGTAAAAGGCCGGGAAAAAATGACTCGAGGCCGAAGTTTACCTCCTCGAGAAAAGGCCAGTCAACGATCGAAGAGAATTCAAGTGACCTCAAAGGAGACACAGGATAGGTTTGTCCAGGTAGATCGTGATATTAACGGCTTTCGGTATGCGGAAAAAGATGATATCATAAAGAGCTACTCGGCTTCTCAGAAAAATAATTTACTCGATAATGAGATAGTTTCTGATAGTTTAGATCAATTGAAAAATGATGATACCGATATAACTCTGATAGAAAATACGTATGCAAATATTCATGAAGATGAGAAAATTAGTGAAGAATCAGAGGAAAATAACTTGAATAGAGAAAAAAAGCAAATTGATTCAAACGAGGTGAAAATAATTGTAGAAAACAATCAGTTAGAAATTGAAGAAAAAAGTCCATTAAAACAGTTAGAAGGTGTAAAAGATGATGGAGATGTTTACGATCCAGTTTCTAATGAAAAAGGCCTTGAGGCCAATGGAAAAGTTGAAAATCTTTATGATAACAGATCGCAATCGCCGAAAACGGAGCCAATCTTACAAAATGTATCAGCCAATCTTTTTGCCTCTTCTTCTCACATTTCTCGGTCCCTAATCGACATGGTAATCGTTGGGAATCAAACATCGGATGTGGAAAACAATCAATCCCCTGATAATGATACTGATAATTATTACGAAAATGTTGATGGTGATGATGTTTACCAACAGGACAACAAACGACCTTCACTAGGAGATGCTATTGCTCGTAGTGTTTCGGCCACTTTACCTGGAACATTTACTGTGGGTTCTAAGAAGAATAGCGAAAATCGATCAACTTACTCGGCAGTTTCACGATATCAATCAATTGACCCTCGTGAATCTGAAGATGATGAAGATGAAGTGACCCTTTTCGAAAGGAACTCAACAACAGAATCAGAAGCAGCAACACCTCAAAGCGGTAAGATTATGGTTCACATTCACCTTAATTCAATAATCTAAATATAAATAATTGTCTCAGATTTTCAGGGTGATTTCAAAAATTTGATTCTCTTTGATCACCAATCGCTTTGGAACTGTTAATTTGACTCACATTTATTGATTTGTTTCTTTTCCTCCAACAGGTTATGATACTACTGAGGAGAAACAAGAAGTAAAATCTTATTCAGCAAAGAGAGTTAACAACTTACCGGAAGTCGAGACACCAGAACGACTGGGAAGTCCATCATTTTCGATGACTTTTCAATTGGATCACAAGCTTCTCGAACCTCTTCAGTTAAGAGTTTAATTCAACCTCGAAACAACAATAGACCAAGACGAGAACCAGAAGAGCCCAGAACAAAATCATCATGTCTTATATCTTAACTCAAAGACGATTTGAACTAAAAAAATGTAGAAAAGAAAATATTAATCTCTTATTAATTGATTAAATTGAGAATCAAATAAATTAAATGAGGATGGTTTTTTGATTAAATTTAATATACTGATCATTGAATTGAGATCTGCTGATTGAGGATCTCAAAAGCTAGGAAGACTAGGAAGTCCATCATTTTCCGATGACTTTTCAATTGGATCACAAGCTTCTCGAACCTCTTTAGTTAAGAGTTTAATTCAACCTCGAAGCAACAATAGATCAAGACGAGAACCAGAAAAGTCCAGAACAAAATCAGCGCGATAATCAAACGCTAGGTCACTATAAGGTATCGAATTTGGCACTTTGGCCTCGAATATCTTCCGTCTGGCTGATCAGAAATAAAATCAGACGATATTTTTGAGATGACGATGCAAAACTCTATGACCAATAAAAGTTGGGTCTAATTTTCTAGTTGCTGAGAAAATCGAGAAATTGAGAAAGTAAACTGAATAATTTAACCAATAACTCAAACAGAACTTAATCTAGATTTAATCTAAAACCAGACTTACTGCAACGTGTGACATCTTCATATTTTTAACAAACTTTCTGTCGAAAGTTCTTCTAATACAGTATTGAAAACGAATTCTAACTTGTTAAAAAAGGTTTTTGTTTTTTGGGGAAAATGAAATACATTTGAAAGAAGATTATTTTAATCACTCCCCAATGAATTAGTTTTTTTCTTTCTTTTGAAACATTAATTCTTTCCTAAAAGTATATGAATTCATTCTGATTTAACTGTAATTTCTAATAAAGCAAAAATAGTTGAAACATGATTTATTAAAGTTTGAATTGCTTGAAAGTTTTTTAATGAGCCCATAGAGGTGAAAAGACCAATACAAGAATATTCATTTTGAAGTATTGTGATCATCAGATTCTGATGTTGGAAACCCTTGAACCAAGATGAAAGATTAAATATTAAAGATAAAATAAGCCTCATGAGAGTTATCAAGAACGAGAAATAATCGAAATTTATTGGTTGATCTAAGTTCTTGAGCATCAGAAACATAACCACAACCAGCACCGGCAGAAGCATAATCAAAGCCATAGCCCATGAGGAAGAAGGAAAGAAAGAAATTTATTAGTGGATCAAAGTCATTGCACCAGTATTAGAAGCCGGAACCTGGGAAGAAAGGTTGCTGATGCCGTTGGGAAGAGCACTTAAATTGGGCGTAACATTTTGTACAAGATTTGATACTTCTGAAGAAACCATTGAACTTACATTCAATGACGCAAGGTTTGTGACTGAGCTAGAAAAATCACGTAGATCAGCCGACCCAGCACCACCAGGACCAGCACCAGAACCGAAGTCAGAATTGTAAGGATAATCATAATCATAATCCTGACCAGCACCAGCACCAGCACCACCAGCACCAGAACCAGCACCCGATCCGCTAACCCAGCCTGGGCCAGAACCATAACCGAAACCAGCACCAGTACCCGGTCCGCTACCCCAGCCTGGGCCAGCACCAGAATTAGCACCAGAACCAGCACCCGGTCCGCTACCCCAGCCTGGGCCAGTCCTTTAACAGGCATTGTCCATTAACATTCAATCGTAGTGGAAATTGATGGAGTTTAATAATTGATAATTTATCATAATCCACAGGAACCAAAACTCTACATTAGTAAACTTGATTCAGAGATATTTCCAATGGAAGAGGAATTAATTAAAGTATAAGTATTGAAATTTCGATAGATTAATCAAAGCTTTATTACAATGTTTAACTCAAGGTAAATCTAACAGTTGTTCTGTTTGACCATAAAAACGGCAGAAAAGATCATTCTTGAATTCGATCTCTTAAAATTTAATCAAAAAAGTGATGTAATGTTTATCACACGTTTTCCTTGTTTAGATAAGTGAGCATCAACTGAATTGGATGATGAATGGTTAGGTGATTAGCTGAATATACTGATGATCTTTAAAGTTTTTTTCATTCTAAATGTTTGCAGATTGATCATTAGAAAATTAGACTTTTGTTAATTATAAAATTAGAGCCGACTTTTATTAAATTGTTCAAATTCACCTTAATTCAATAATCTAAAATATAGTTGATAAATAGTCGTAAATGTCTCAGATTTTCAGGATGATTTCTTAAATTTGATTCTCTTTGATTACCAATCGCTTTGGAACTGTCAATTTTTCTCACATTTATTAATTTGTTTCTTTTCTTACAACAGGTTATGATACTACTGATTTCAAAGTACATCGCATTAATGAATTTGATCTAGTAAAATTTACTCAAAAGAGTGAGCACACATTGTCCGTGTCAAGATGATTGAGCATCAAATAAATTGAATGACGATGATTATGTGATTAGCTGAATATACTGATGATCTTTGATTATTAGGTAAAAATTAAAGTTTTTTCTTCTTTTGATTCTTAATGTTTGCAGATTGATCATCAGCAAATTAGACTTTTGTTATCAATAATTAAGATAAATTACACTGTAAGAATAACTTTTATCCAGCTTTTATTAAATTATCTCCATATGACAAAAAAAATTTCTGGTCCAATTTTTCGTTACTTATTACCAGAGAATCGCTTTGATTGTGTTTGTTTTTTAAAATAAATATTTAAAGTCAATTGTTTCGTTTTCATTTGTTCAGTGAATTCAATTTAAATTGTGACAAACAAGCAAAAGTAACTTTGAAGACAGAAATTTTGTGAAAACGTTTATCGAAAGGTTAATCACCTTTGATTAAATCGAGTAAAAGATGGAAATACAGTGTATGTGCTCATTAAAATTGTAATCGAAACTATATCATCATAATAACTGATATTTATGATTGAATTTAATATACTGATGATCGAGTAATTGAGATCAACTGTTTGAGGATCTCAAAAGATGAATTTATTTCTTTGTTATCGGGCACAATAGTCTTGATATCACCTCACTAAAAATTAAGATTACAGGGGAAGAAATTAAAAGAGATATGAAATTCAGTCCTTAGGACTAATGTTCAATCCATCACGAAAATGAGATGATAAAATCGAGCAATAAGAGACATTTTTTAATTGTGATTACTTTTATCCCTTGCATTTCAAACTATATCAAACAAATTTAGCAAATTATCTCCTTAGGCATGTTTGATTTAATATTCTCATCTAGTTGATGTTTGAATCACTTTGATAATAGTAAGTTTGTTAAAATGTAGATGCAATCATTAATTACTGTGTTCTAATTTACCTTATATTTTTTGATTATTTAATCTTTAAATAAGTCAGAAAGATAAACTAGTATATGTTTGAGTTTGTTCAGGTAACTTTATGAAAGTCAAAATAACAAGTCGATATGAGAAAATCACAAAAATGGTGGAATCATTTAAATAGAAAATTATATTTGAATTAAATGTTAATCTGAAATATCATGGTCATAAAATGATCATGTGAACGTTTCTGTTTATCTTTTGGTTTATTCAGGTAACTTTATAGAGGGTTAAAACAACACGATGATATTGGAAGAAAATCACATAAAAGGAGAATTATATTGAAATTGAATTTTCATCTGAATAAGCAAAAGTTTCTAACAGTTAAAATTTAAAGTTTTAATCACGAGAAAATAATGAGTTTCAATCCACTTTTGGACGTTAATTCTTTTTGGTTCGTCACCATTTTCATGGGACTTATGTCATCATTATCCTACCAGGATCCTGGTTCTGCTGCTGGTTCTAGTTCTGGCACTGGTGCAGGTTTTCAGAGTTATGGGAATTCTCAGGGTTATGGTTCTAGTACAGGTGCGAGTGCTGGTGCTGGTGGTCCAGGTTCAAGAATTTCGTCATCCAGTGCAAGTTCAAGGGCTTCTTCAGCGGTTACAAGTTTCGTACAAAATGGTGCTCTTGATATGAAGAATCTTCGCAACGTCATCAGAAAACTTTCTTCCGAGTTTTCGACATCTACTCCTGGTGCAAGTCAATCTGATGCCTTTCTTCTAGCTTTATTGCAAGTATTCAGTGAATTAAATTCCATATTAAGTAGCGCAAATTTTGGATCTTCTGATAATAATACACCTGATCAAAGGGAAAACGATATTTTATCTTCACTTTCATAGGGCTTATTTTATCTTTAATCTTTCACTCTGGTTCAAGGGTTTCCGACATCAGAATCTGATGATCACAATACTTCAAAAATGGATATTCTTGTATTGGTCTTTTCATTTCCATGTGCTCATTAAAAACTAGAAAAAATTCAAACTTTAATAAATCAAGTTTCAACTGTTTTTCTTTATTAGAAGTTATTAGAACAACTTTCGACAGAAAGTTTGTTAAAAGTGTGTCGAAGTCACTGCCGTTGCAGTAAGCCTAGTTTTAGATTAAGTTCTGATTGAGTTCTGATTGAGTTATCGGTTAAATTATTCAGTGCACTGGTCCACACATTAAGTAGCACACAGATCTCCGGTGTTGATCAATGAATATCTTAAATCTCACACCACAAAAGTGAATAAAAAAGGTTAATTTATCGAGTAAGTAATCAACAGTTACTCATTAATCAAAGTTACTTTTGCTTGTTTGTCACAATTTTCAATTGAATTTACTGAACAAATGAAAACGAAAACAATTCACTTTGAATATTTACTTTCTAAAACAAATAAAACAGCAACTCTCTGATAATACTGATAAAAAGCAACGAAAAGCTGGATAAGAAAAAAGGTATGTTAAATATGCATATGGAGACAATTTAATAAAAGTTGGCCTTAATTTTATAATTAACAAAAGTCTAATTTTCTAATGATCAATCTGCAAACATTTAGAATAAAAAAACTTTAATGTTTACTTAATAATTCAAAGATCATCAGTATATTCAGCTAATCACCTAACCATTCATAATCCAATTCAGTTGATGCTCACTTATCTAAACAAGGAAGACGTGTGATCAACATGATCACTTTTTTGATTAAATTTTAAGAGATCGAATTCAAGAATGATCTTTTCTGCCGTTTTTATGGTCAAACAGAACAACTGTTAGATTTACCTTGAGTTAAACATTGTAATAAAGCTTTGATTAATCTATCGAAATTTCAATACTTATACTTTAATTAATTCCTCTTCCATTGGAAATATCTCTGAATCAAGTTTACTAATGTAGAGTTTTGGTTCCTGTCGATTATAATAAATTATCAACTATTAATTTCCACTACGATTGGATGTTAATGGACAATTCGTTCAGCTTTTATTCACCAAAGTCAATAGAAAAGTTTCAACAGCAAGAAAAGAATCAAAAACATTTCCAGAAGCGTTGTTGTTGGCCTTTGGTAATTTAATTCCAATTGTCAGAAAGATAAACTAATTTAAGTTTTGGTTTATTCAGGTAACTTTATCAAGGCAAAAAGAATACGTATTGAAAGAAAAAGACATAAAAGGTTGAATCATTTGAAGGGAAAATCATAGTTAAATTAAATCTTCGTCTGAATAAGTGAACGTTTCAAACAGTAAAATTTAAATTTAAATTGTTAATCACGATCAAAAAAATGAGTTTCAATCCATTTATGGCCGTTAATTTCTTTTCGCTCACTACTATATTCATGGTTCTAATGTCGTCTTTATTGAACCAGGCTCCTGTTAATGGTCAGAGCTCTTCTTCTAGTGGTGCTTCTCCTTATGATGCTAATAGTGCTGGTGGTTATGGCCAGGGCTATGGTGCTGGTTCTGGTGCTGGTGCTGGTGGTGCTGGTGGTTATGGCCAGGGTTATGGTGCTGGTTCTGGTGCTGGTGCTGGTGCTGGTGCTGGTGCTGGTGCTGGTGGTTATGGCCAGGGTTATGGTGCTGGTTCTGGTGCTGGTGCTGGTGCTGGTGCTGGTGCTGGTGCTGCCGCTGGTGCAGTTTCAAGACTTTCGTCATCTAGTGCAACCTCAAGGGTTTCATCAGCAGTATCAAGAATCGTACAAAATGATCAACCTGATATAAATAATCTTCCCAACGTCATCAGCAACCTTTCTTCCCAAATTTAAGCATCTAATCCTGATGTGAGCGAATGTGAGGTCTTGGTTCAGGTCTTAATGGAAATAGTCATTCACTTATTAAGTAGCGAAAATGTCGGATAGATAATAATCAAGTATTAAACAATGTTTGATGTGTGTCAAAATTCTAACTGTTAAAAAAGCAAGGACTAATCCACCAATAAATTTCGAATATTCCCCGTTCTTCTCATCTTTCGTGAGGCTTATTTCATCTTTTATCTTTCACCCTGGTGCAAGGTTTCTGCAATCGGAAATTTTTCGGCTTAAGGTTCGGTTTGATTGTCTCAGGCCCTCCGGGCCTTTCTTTGTTCATGATGACCCTTATTAGCAAAGACCTAACCTAACTTAATTTAAACAAACACAATTAACTGAACAATTAAGTCCATTTTCATATGTAGCTTGAACTTTAATCCCACAGAAACAGCTCAAAGTGAAAATATCGAGTTGACGGACAATTCTCGAATCTTACCGGCATCGCAAAAGTAAGCCTAGAATCTAGGCCCAAGATTAAGTATAGATTAAGTTTTATTAATAATTAAATTAATAAATTTACTGGTCCATCCATAAAGTAACACACAAATCTACAGTGTTGATCAATTAATATCTTAAATCTTACCTGACAAAAGTGAATAAAAAAGGTTAATCTATTAATCTCAATATTCTCATATTTGGAAAAATAGTAAAATTAAATTACAGAAAATTAACAAATCAATTAAAATTTATTTAAATATAAATTTATTTGGAAATATCTCTGAATCAAAAGTTTGTTACAAATAGAGCTTTGGCTCTTGTTGATTATGATGAATCATTGATGATTAAATTCCATCAATTTTCACTACAATTCAATCAAAACGGACAATTCGATCAGCTTTTATTCACAAAAACTCGATAAAAAAGTTTAAACCCAAGAAAAGAATCAGAAACATTTCCTAGAAGCTTCAGTTGCTGACCTTTGATAATTTAGTCTAAATTAGTCAAAAAGATAAACTAGTTTTGGTTTATTCAGGTAACTTTATCGAGGCAAAAAGAACACGTATTGAAAAACTAACCAAATAAAAGGTGAAATCGTCTAAAGGGAAAATCATAGTTAAATTAAATCCTCATCCTAAATAAGTGAGTATTTTTAACAGTTAAAATTTAAAGTGTTACTCACGAGAGAAAAAATGAGTTCCAATCCGTTAATTCTTTTTGGTTCGTCACCATTGTTCTGGGTTTATGTCATCATCATCCTACCAGGATCCTGATTCTGCTCCTGATAATGTAAAAAGTGCTGACTTGGCTGCTGGTTCTGGTTCTATTTCTGATGCTCAAAATGCTCTTTCTAACTCAGCTCGAAGACTTTCGTCATCTAGTGCAACTTCACGTGTTTCTCGGTTGTCGGATAGTCCAATGATTTAGGTTAGTCACTATCCCCGTAACAGTATTAACAATGAATTTTTGATGAATAAATTGGTTTCCAACCCCTTAACTATAACCAGCACCAGTACATAACTCGAGGTATAACCAATTGATTATTGTCTTTAAACTTTTGTCGAGAACTGTATAATAATAAGTTGATACACTGAAATAAGCCCCCTGAGAATGACGAAGCCAAGAAATATTTGAGAGTTGTAAGAGAATCAAAGTCGTTTTGTTTTTTAATTTAATTTAATTTACATATTTTATAATGAAAAAGTTGACAAATTAAATAACAGAAGGTTAACAAATCAATCTCGTAATCAGTTAACGCAAATTTGGTTTTCTAAGCCACAATCCAATGAAACTTCTCAATGGTAGTTGTTCATACATGTATTGTATTTGGCTCAACTGTTTTTGTAGTTTCAAATTGAAACTTTCATTCTGGAATCGGGTAAAACACCGGGCTAGGATTCGCAGAAACCAAACTTTCAAATGAGAAAACCTTTTTTTCAATCGGGAAACACTGTAAATAATAAATATAAATATCGGGTGACCGAAAATGAGTGAGCATCTCACGAACCTTAAGTTTTGGACCCACGTTTCTATACATTTTAAGAAAGTAAATTTGACGCTGAGTCCAAAAATGTTTGGCTTTTTTTCTAGGACGCACGGTTCTCAAGATATCGAGTAGCCTGAAAAGCGAACGGTTGACTTTGGACTCAAAATTTTCGGTCAAAAGTTATTCTTTTTGACCTATTATCTTATATATCTAAGCTCATCATTATCTGAAGTAAGGTTATTGAGATCCAACATGGCTGAAATCAACGAAAATTGCTATCTAACTTTCCCATTATAAATTTCTCATAGAGAAAATCGCGATTTTGGCCTTTAAATAAGAACCACAGTTGCACTTGAACTTCAAAAATTCTGAAAAAATTCACGATTTATATTTGATCGATGGCGCTTTCAATTGCGTTTGAAATTTTATTCTAGGACCTACCATTCTTGAGATGCTCACTCATTTTCGGTCACCCGATAATTATCTCATATCTGCAGAGTAATTTCATAAATTTGATTCTCTTTGATCACCAATCGCTTTAGAACTGTCAATTTTTCTCGCATTTATTGATTTGTTTCTTTTGTTTCTTCTTTCAACAGATTATGATACTACTGAGGAGAAACAAGAAGTAAAACCTAAGAGAGTTAACAACTTACCGGAAGTCGAGACACCAGAACGACTGGGAAGTCCATCATTTTCCGATGACTTTTCAATTGGATCACAAGCTTCTCGAACCTCTTCAGTTATGAGTTTAATTCAACCTCGAAACAACAATAGATCAAGACGAGAACCAGAAGAGCCCAGAACAAAATCACCATGTCTTATATCTTAACTCAAAGACAATTTAACCAAAAAAATGTAGAAAAAAAATATTAATCTCTTATTAATTGATTAAATTGAGAATCAAATAAATTAAATGAGGATGGTTTTATGATTAAATTTAATATCCTAGTGATCGTTGAATTGAGATCGGTTGATATAGGATCTCAAAAGATGAATTTACTCCAATTCCTTTGTTATCGGGCACAATAGTCTTGATATCACCTCACTAAAAATTAAGATTACAAGAGAAAAAATTAAAAGAGATATGAAATTCAGTCCTTAGGACTAATGTTCAATCCACACTCACGAAAATGAGATGATAAAATCGAGCATAAAGAGATAATTTTTAATTGTGGTCTTTTTTCTCCGTAAGATTTCCAACTATATCAAACCAATTTTTATTAAATTATTATTAATATTTCCTTAAGCATATTTGATCCAATATTCTCTTCTAGTTGGTGTTTGAATCACTTTGATAAAAGTAATTTTGTTGAAATGTAGATGCAATGGTTAATTACTGTGTGCTAATTTACCTTATATTTTTTGATTATTTAATCTTTAAATTAGTCAGAAAGATAAACTAATAACTCTGTTATATGTTTGAGTTTGTTCAGGTAACTTTATGGAAGTCGATCTGATAAAATCAAATGGTGGAATCATTTAAATAGAAAATTATATTTGAAATGATCATGTGAACGTTTCTGCCTATGTTTTGGTTTATTCAGGTAACTTTATCGAGGCCAAAAGAGCACATTGATATTGGAAGAAACCACATAAAAGGTAAAATCATAGTTAAATTAAATCTTCATCTGAATAAGTGAATACTTCTAACAGTTAAAATTCTAAGTTTTAATCACAAGAAAAAATAATGAGTTTCAAACAACTTTTGGTCGTTAATTCTTTTTGGTTCGTCACCATTTTGCTGGGGCTTATGTCATCATTATCCTACCAGGATCCTGGTTCTGCTCCTGATAATGTAAACAGTGCTGGTTCTGGTTCTGGTTCGGGTGCGGGCTCGGGTGGTGGTTATGGTCAGGGTTATGGTTCTAGCTATGCTGGTGCTACTGGTGGTGGTGGTTATGGTCAAGGGTGGTATGGTCAGAATGCTGGTGCTGCTGCTGCTGCTGGTGCTGGCGGTGGCGGTGGTTATGGTCAAGGAGGGTATGGTCAGAATGCTGGTGCTAGTTCTGGTTCTGATTCTGGTGACAGTGCTGCTGCTGGTGCTGGTTATGGTCAAGGAGGGTATGGTCAGGGTGCTGGTGCTGGAGCTGGTCAAGGAGGGTATGGTCAGGGTTATCTGTCTGGTGCTGCTGATGCTCAAAGTGCTGTTTCTAACTCAGTTTCAAGACTGTCGTCACCTAGTGCAAGTTCAAGGGTTTTATCAGCAGTATCAAGCCTCGTACAAAATGGTAGACCTAATTTGGATAGTCTTCCTAATGTCATCAGCAACCTTTCTTCCCAGGTTTCGGCATCTACTCCTGGTGCGAGTGGATTTGAGGTCTTGGTTCAGGTCTTAATGGAAGTAGTCGCTGCGTTGGTTCACATATTAAGTCAAGCAAGTGTCGGTAATGTAGACTTAGGATCAGCTAGCGCAACTGCAAATACAGTTGGTAATGCACTAGGCAACATGGGAAAATAGTGTACTGGTTTTTCCCAATTAATTCATCTCTATACTAATCAGTTAAAATTCTAAGTGTTGAAAAAACAATTAAGTTTCAAGTTTCAGATATTTCTCGTTCTTTCTCATTCTCATGGGGCTTATTTTATCTTTCACTCTGGGCAAGGTTTCAGACACCAGGACATTATTTAATTCCTATAATAATAATCATCTAAATAAATTGAATCAAATCGGGGTTCTCGCTAACGGTTTGATAAATTAATTTATCAAACCGTTACTCTAATTAGAGTAATTTTCTATGTAATATTCTTAGTAATTAATTGTCTAATTATTAGTGACCGTCTGATCTATGCTAATAAGGCATGACCGGTGATAAATGGAAGTTTCTGTTATGAATTAAACTGATATGTCTATACATAGTCGTTATGATTGTTCGAAAATTCTACTTCCATGCTTTATCGGTCATACCTTAATTCATCGATCGTTTTAATTGATTCAAACCATTTTCGAAAAAAATTTGATCAAATCAGGTCAGAATTCAATCTTTTATCCGAATAGGTAGTGTTTAAAAAAACAAAGAACTTTAATCCATCAACAAATTTCTTTCTTTCGTTCTTGTTCACTTTCATGGGGCTTATTTCATCTTTAATCTTTCACTCTGATTCAAGGGTTTCCGACATCAGAATCTGATGATCACAATACTTCAAAAATGGATATTCTTGTATTGGTCTTTTTATTTCCATGTGCTCATTAAAAACTAGAAAAAATTCAAACCTTAATAAATCAAGTTTCAACTGTTTTTCTTTATTAGAAGTTATTAGAACAACTTTCGACAGAAAGTTTGTTAAAAGTGTGTCGAAGTCACTGCCGTTGCAGTAAGCCTAGTTTTAGATTAAGTTCTGATTGAGTTCTTGATATAAGTAATCAGTTTACTGGTCCACTTATTAAGTAGCTCGCGAATCTACAGTGTTGACCAATTAATATCTTAAATCTTACACCACAAAAATGAATACGTATAATGAGTTAATCTATTCATCTACATATTCTCATATTTGAAAAAATTGTAAAATAAATTACAGAAAATTAACAAATCAATCTCGTACTCAGTTAACGCAAATTTGTTTTCTAAGTCACAATCTAATGAATCAATGAACTTCTCAATGACAATTGTTCATATTTGGCTCAACTGATGATTTTTGTAGTTTCAAATTGAAACTTTCAATCTGGAATCGGGTAAAACACCGAGTTAGGATTCTCAACTTGAGAATCTCAAGTTAGGAATCGATGATGAGTCGATAGAATCGAATCACATTCGATGGTATCGATTCCACTATTTGTATGAATAGACTAAACTGTGAATCAAAGTGACTAAACATTAAATTAGTTTCTCTTTTCAATCTATTTAATTAGTTTACTTAATTGTTTTATTTTCTCACTTTAATTATTGGTAATATTGAAAATGTTCCTTACAAGGTCTGAATATGATCGTGGTGTCAACACCTTTTCCCCTGAAGGTCGACTCTTCCAAGTTGAATATGCAATTGAGGCAATTAAGGTAAAAGAGAAATGGTTACCGGTTGTTGAGAATATAAATTATTATTATCATCATTTAAACGCATTAATTGGTTAATTTGCTCTTTCTTTATTTTATTCTGTTCTCTTATTCAGCTCGGAACCACTGCTATTGGAATTTCAACATCTGAAGGTGTTCTTTTGGCAGTAGAGAAAAGAGTAACTTCTCCTCTTATGGAACCAGCAACCACTGAGAAAATTGCTGAAATTGATTCTCATATTGGATGTGCTTGTAGTGGACTTATGGCCGATTCTCGTACTCTTGTTGATCGAGCTCGAGTTGAAGCTCAGGTAAATTAGAAGGTTTCTTTTGGTCTCTTTCCTTCAGTTTGGTAAAAGGTTGTTTCTTACTATTAATATGTTACTTTTTCTTTACCCTCTTTCCAGAATCACTGGTTCTTATACAATGAAAACATGTCCGTTGAAAGTGTTACCCAATCTGTTTCCAATTTAGCCATTCAATTTGGTGACAGTGACAGCGATGGTAATGCGATGAGTAGACCTTTTGGTGTTGCTATTCTTTTCGCTGGTTGTGACGATGGTGGACCACAATTGTTTTACATGGATCCCTCTGGAACTTATGTTCAATGTGATGCTAAAGCGATTGGCTCAGGTTGTGAAGGTGCTCAACAAGCCTTACAAGAAGCCTATTCTAAAGTAAATATCATTAGTTGAATTTATTTCTCTCTTTCATCAATCAACTATTCATTTTATTAATGTTTCAATGTTTATTTTTCTTCAGTCTTTATCTTTAGCTGCTGCTCTGAAAGTTTTACTAACAATCTTGAAGCAAGTCATGGAGGAGAAATTAAATTCTACTAATGTTGAAGTAGCAATAATTAAACCTGACACAGGATACCGAATGTTATCAAAAGAGGAGATCGAAAATGCCATCAAAGAAATACCAGTTTAAAAACTTTAAAAGTCTCTTTCTCTCTCTAATCGTCCTCTGAAGTTTTTTATATGTTTCAGTTTCCATCTTTCAACTTTGAAAAAAAACTCTCCCAAGTTTCTGGTTTAAAAGGAAAATCTAATTAAACAAATATTGTCATATAAACAAAACAAAAACATCTAAATTACTAAATTACTTCCTAATCAACAATCGTTTGGAAATGTAAAGAATTGAAATTACCTGATTACATTTATCATCTCATCAAGTCCAAAACTTTTCCAATCCATTAGACTGTTATGAGCAAAAAAAATAGCAATTAGTATCCAAAGAAAACCCAATTAATTATTTTTCGATAAAAGTTTAATTAATAGTCAATTATTGATTCTTTGATAGAATCACATGTCGCCATCTAGTGAATTTTTTACAATAGAATTTATCTCAAGATCGGTGTGTCATTTAGCTTTGAGCGCCTATTCAATGAAAAAGTCTCTTCGTTTGTCATGCGCAGAAGTGGAAATGGTTTTTATTTTTATGGAAAAATATATTTTTTCAAAATAATAATTTCCTAGTCTTTAAACTCAATTTCAATTTAAATTGTTCATTAATTGTCTTTTTCTCTATTAAATTGGTATTGCGTGTTTTTCGATTCTCAACTGATTATAAATCATGTCACACAATTACGTTGTAACTGCCCATAAATCATCCACAGTGTCAGCATGTTGCACCGGTGAGTGTTTTTGTTGTTTGTCTTTTTGTTTTTCCACAAAAAGCTTGAGTTTTTTTTCTTATCCGAAATGAAACTAAATCAACAGCGTGGTTTCTCATCATTTACCAATTTCTTTTTTTAATCATGTAGTATCACGATTAATTGATTGTTTTCATGTTTTCCAATTTTCTGAATCTCTTGTATAATTTTTACTTGGAGAGTTTGTTAAATTTGCATATCTAATTCTCTATGTATTAAAATACAGAGAATGTACTTGAAAGGTATTGATTTGGTTTTTCATTTCTTTTTGTTTCTTGTTTCAATTCATAGGAAATTTCACATCACCCACAGATCTCAATTTAATCATCGCTAAAACAACTCGATTTGAGATTTATTTGGTTACTCCAGAAGGTCTTAGACCTGTGAAAGAGGTCAATGTCTATGGAAGGATCACCATTATGAAGTTATACCGACCCAAGGGTGAAAATCAGGACAGGCTTTTTATCCTTACATTTCGAAATCAAATTTGTATTCTTGAATGTGTTAAAGATGGTGACAATTTTGAGATAATCACCAAAACTCATGGAGATGTTGCAGACTCGGTTAATCGACCTTCTGAAACAGGTTCAATTGGAATAATCGACCCTGAATGCCGAATAATTGGCCTTAGAATTTACGATGGACTCTTTAAGATTATACCCTTAGGTAAATTACATTTTAATCTCAAAGATTTTTTTCTAGGAGAATAACGTCCCTTTGTTATTAATGTTTTCTAATCTAATTTTTTTCTCTTCTCCATTTTCTTTACCTTTACCTACTGTTTTCTTCTTACTTTTTGCAAGATTTAGATAAAGGAGAGATGAAAGCTTTTAATATCCGAATGGAAGACATCTTAATTCAAGACATTCAATTTCTCCATGGATGTTCAGTTCCAACTTTGGCTTATATTTCACAAGAAAATTCGGCTCGTCATGTGAAAACATTGGAAGTTTCAGTGAAAGATAAAGAGTTTATCAAAGGTCCCTGGAAACAAGACAATGTTGAAAGTGAAGCATCCATTTTAATTGCAGTGCCTCAGCCTTTTGGCGGTTGTTTGGTTATCGGTCAAGAATCAATAACATATTTAAATGGTGATGCTTATGTAGCAATTGCACCTCCAGCTTTACGTCACAGTACCGTTGTTTGTTATGGACTAATTGATACCAATGGATCACGTTATCTTCTTGGTGACATGTCTGGAAGATTGTTTTTACTTTATCTTGAAAGAGAGGATCGATCTGATGGAGGTGCTAATGTTAAAAGTTTAAAACTCGAAACATTGGGAGAATGTACAATTCCTGAATGTCTTACTTACCTTGACAATGGAGTTGTTTATGTTGGCTCACGTTTAGGTGATTCTCAGCTTGTAAAACTAATTCTTGAGCCAAATGAACAAGGGTCATACCTTGAAACAATGGAAAACTTTACCAATCTTGGACCAATTGTCGATATGTGCGTTGTTGATCTAGAAAGACAAGGACAAGGTCAATTGGTTACATGTTCCGGTGCTTTTAAAGAAGGCACCTTACGTATCATTCGCAATGGTATTGGTATTCAAGAACATGCTTCAATTGATCTACCCGGTATCAAAGGTATTTGGCCACTTCGATTGGGATCAATTGATTCCAAATTTGATAATCTATTAGTTTTATCGTTTGTTGGTCAAACTCGAGTTTTAATGTTAAATGGTGAAGAAGTTGAAGAAACCGAAATCTCCGGTTTCGATAATAGTCAACAAACATTTGCCTGTCAAAATGTTTCTTTCCATCAAGTGATCCAAGTTACACCAACCTCCGTACTACTTGTCGACGTTGACACGAAAAAGTTATTAAATGAATGGCGTCCACCCTCCGATCAAACAATTTCCGTTGTCTCTTGTAATCCTACTCAAATTGTTTGCGCTGCAAGAAATAAACTCTACTATTTAAAGATCAAAGAAGGCTCATTGGAACAAATTAGTGAGACCATATTAGAACACGAAATTGCTTGTATCGATGTTAGTCCATTGGCCGAAGATTCCGATTCAACTGAATATTGTTGTGTCGGCTTATGGACCGATATCTCAATCCGAATTTTACATCTCCCTGATCTCAAAGAACTACACAAAGAAATGCTTGGTGGTGAAATTATTCCTCGATCGATAATTGCTGTTACCTTTGAGGGAATTAAATATCTTCTCTGTGCTCTTGGTGATGGTTCACTTTTTTACTTTACTCTTCAAACTCGACCGGATCAGGAAACTTGTTATCTTACTGATCGAAAGAAAGTTACCCTTGGAACTCAACCTACTGTACTTAAAACTTTCCGCTCCAATGTTACTGTTAACGTATTCGCCTGTTCAGATCGTCCAACTGTTATTTACAGTGCTAATCATAAGTTAGTTTTTTCAAATGTTAATCTAAAAGAAGTCAATCATATGTGCCCACTTCACTCTCAAGCATATCCTGATAGTTTGGCTCTTGCCAATGATAATAGTCTAATCATTGGTACCATTGATGAGATTCAGAAACTTCACATTCGTACAATCAGTCTTGGTGAATCGCCGCGTCGAATTGCTTACCAGGAGCAAAGTCAAACATTCGGTGTAATC